TATGATACATTGGTGGATAAAGAGTGATTTAATGTTGAGGATTTCGTTTTCATTATATAATCGTATGGTAGTGAATAATTTATCTTTTTTTTAATATTATTTTCAAAATTGTGTTTTGTGTTACTTGCAGAGTATTAAGTGTAGTGTTAAAAGCCCCTCCCCATGCCGTAATACAGTATCTTAAAACAGATTCCACTAATATGTCATGATTATTTTTGTCTTAGAGAGAATATCGCGAAGTACATAAAATGTATGCATTAGAGCCCTTATTCGATTACTAACATGAGTGATATGCTCTGTCCAACGTATATATTGGTCTAGTATAACACCTAAATATTTTATGGAAGCGACTTTTTCAATAGTGGGACATATGCAATTGTTTAGCTCGCAGTTTGGGCTGTGTAGTTTAATCGGTAAGTTAATTGGCTGATTTGTAGCAGTCGGGCTGAAAGCAATAAATTTTGTTTTTTTAATATTTAATGTTAGTTTGTTATAGTTTAACCATAGTGTCACCTTAGTTAATGTAGCTTCTGTTTTGCGATGTACGTCTTCCCACGTTTTTCCGGTGAAAATTATGGCTGTATCATCGGCATAGCACACAAGATGACCTTGAAAATTATTAATTTTTGTTATACTATTCATGTAAACAAGAAACAACAAGGGACCCAAGACTGTTCCCTGTGGAACACCCACTTTAATAATTGATTCGCAGCTAAATTCAGAACCAATCCTTACTCTTTGAACACGATTATATAAGTAATCAGATATAAGTTTAAGCGCCACGCCCCGAATTCCATAGTCTTCTAGTTTGTTTAGAAGTATTTCATGAGAGACTGTATCAAATGCCTTGGCTAAATCAAGGAATACAGCAGTGCATGCCAATGATTCATCCGGGGCACCGACTACTTTTCTCATAAGATCTATAATTACAGTTTCAGTACTTGAATTTTCTATAAAACCATGTTGATAGCTGGAGATAATGCCGTGAGTTTGAAAGAAAGCAGTTAGCCTCGCCTTCAGTGCCTTTTCAAATATTTTTGCTATATTGTTTATTAATGAAATAGGTCTATAATTATTTACTCTGCTGTAATCCCCTGATTTAAATATAGGGGTAACAATAGATTGCTTCCATTGATGGGGAATTTTTCCAGTCTGAAAACATAGGTTAATAATATGTGTTAGAGGAGAAACAATATATTCATGGATGCTTTTTATTGTTTTTACTTCTAATTTATCTGGACCTGGTGCACAATTATTTTTTAAATTCGAAATAAAAATAGTTACTTTAGTTTTTGATATTGGCCGTAGAAATATACTCGAATTGATTTGATCATTACTGATAAAATTATCAGGTAAGTTTGTTGTGGGTATTTTATTTGCCATTTCGTTTCCGAGGTTTGAAAAAAATCTATTAAACTCGTTTGCTTTTTCTTTATTACCATTTAGTATTACATTATTTTTATTAGTGATTATATTATATCTATTTTATTAGTATTTTTTGCACGTCCTGAGATGTTATTAATAACTTTCCAAATTTTTTTTGAGTCGTTACCGGCTTCATCCATTTGTTTTTGATAGTATTCTTTTTTTGTTTTTTTTAATAATGCGTTTTATTTCTATATTTTTTATACTCACTTTCAAATTCAGGACAAAAGTTTTTTATTAGTTTTTTTTTTTAAACAATCTCTATGTTTAATTGAAGATATTAGCTCTAAGGTAATCCACGGTTTAATTATTGTTATTTTATTTTTTACTATTTTTGTATCAGTTGAGGTTGTAATGTGATTATCTAATTTGTTTCGGAATATATTATATGCTAATTGTGAGTCTGTATTATTTTTATACAATTCATCCCAATTTTCTTTACTTAAAAGATTTTTTAGTTTATAAAAATTTATTATGTTTATTTTATTTACAGGTGCGTGAATAGTATGTGTTTGCGTTAAAAAAGATATAAATACAGCGGGTGAATAATGATCTGTCATTATATAGCAATTTTTATCTTGGTTTTGCTATATAAGGTTTGTTCCAACAACAATCTTGGAACCATACACAAACCAGTCCACAACTTATTGTCGACGACTGATAGTCGACGACCAGTCTACGACCTGTCGATGATTGGGACTAAATTCGGAACTTGGTTGTGTTGGAACACATGTTTCTGTTGTCAGACACACTGTCAATAACGTAAAAGAAAAAAAAAACATTAACAGATGTTAAATTTTAAATTTGGTAAATAAAAAAATTAAAACTCATTAAAAGAGTTCTTAATAGTCCTTTTCACTTTCTACACTCAATACTCTTTCTTTGTATACTCAATAATATACTATAAATAATGATAATGAATAAAAATCAAATAACGATCGATACTATGATCGATGATGCTATCAAAACGAATATAATCACGACATTTCCAGAGTTGGTCGAGATTTATTTACGATCTCACTTTCGTTTTGCGCATGTCTTGACAATTCGTTCCTATTCAGACCCAGGAACTAATTTGACAGTACAGAAACTGGTTTGTGATTAGGTTTGAGTATGTTGGAACACTAGGTTTTTGTAGAGTTTTGAGTCCGAGGTTTGTTGGAACATCAAATCTAGACTGCGCAGAATCCCGACAGTACGTAAACCGATTTGCTATTGTGTTGGAACAAACCTTTAATAAATCCTCTATAAAGTTTACATTTTTGTCACCAGTTGGCGTTAAAGTAATGACGCACGAGTCCTATACTTTTTCATAAAAATTTGACAACTACGTGGATGACACTGTAAATGTTTGCAATTCGATTTTTGTAAACAAAACTAGATATTTTTAGTCTATAAACAACTAATTCTTTACGTCGCATTTAAAAACTGTTCTACAGCGGCAACCATGTCGAATATACAATTACAAAGTTGCTAAGGAATAATTAAGTCCTGATGAAATCTGAAACTTTTCAAACTCGCTAATTTCCCAATCAGACTTTTCATTCCCAGACTCATTACTGATTAAAATAATAACTTTCGGCAACTAATAACTTCGTTACAGGTTGTTGTAGGTACTTCGCGATAAATAAACTCGAACCCAGGTTGGGAATAATTAACGAAGTTTGTCTGAATGAAACGAGGATTTTTAGACTTCCAAACAAATAATGAGATTTTTTTACTGCAGTAATGACATTTTTTTTTAAACTATTTTCTTGTCTAGGAAAATGTCATTAAAGTTAATGTTACTAATTGACTATAAGATAAACTCTCCAGCGTTTTCGTAATTTGTTAACAGGACCGGCGCGGCGGGTCAAAGATATCGAATAAGAGAAATATGCACGTCGTTTATATTAACAGATTCTGTTAGTAGTTTTTTGGTTTTAATATTCAATTCCGATCTGTGAGGATAAATTAATTTTAAAGAATAATAAGCCTTTTCATTTTATTAGTAATATGTTTATTAAATAGAAGTTTGGAGTCTATGATTAAACCCAAATACTTCGGTATTCTTGAACTTCTAAAGTTTGATTATTAAGTTCAGTTTTTAGATGGAAGACAGTTGACCTTTGAAGATCATTGCAGATTGTAAGGATAGGTGATGCGCTCAGTGTGCCAAAACAAATAGAATTAGATGTACCACAGGGGTCGCTATTAGGACCGACGCTCTTTAATATTTACAATAACAAGTTGTTTTCATTAGAAACCAAAGGTAATATTATAGGATTTGCGGATGGCACGACCATCAACTACGAAGATGAAGACTGGTATTCTTTGAAAAATAAAGTGGAGCAGGAATTTACTCTTATTCTAAAGTAGTTACAATCAAAATTGCTGACAGTTAATGTAGAAAAAACTAATTACTTACCGTTTAGCTGCTACTATTACTAACTTTAATCAAATAAGAATTAATATGTTCTAGATTTGCAATGGCTTAAGAATAAATAACTTTACGATCCCTTTCATAGAATAAAGAAATACTTGAAACTTGTAATAATAAAAATCTAATTCCCGTTACTGTAATAAATTTGATTTGATTTGAAGCGCTCAGATGAAAACAAAACCTCTTGAAGTTTTTCTTCTATACGGCATACGAATGGAATATTATTTTCAAATTCAATATTTCTAATCCATTAGCAACAAAAAAACAGAATCAATTGACTTCCGAACTTCAACCTTGATCGATCAACGTAGCTGTTAAAAATAATGAAATTTTATATTGGCAATATCCTTGGGAAAATCTCGAGGGTTTTTCATTCCGTATCCACACCTTCTCCTGGAGCACACAACAACAGATTGGCCGGCTATAAAACACGTGGAATCAAATTTTAACTCAACGCCTGCCGTTGATAAAAAAAGAGTCGTTCTTCGAGTAGGACAATACGAATCTTTTATAAAAGAATTTATTCAAATTGAAAAAAAAAAGGATTCTTTCTTTCCGACCTACAATCAAAATATTTTGAGGATGTACAATAAATAGGAACGGATACTCTTTTGTAGTTAAACATGAAAGGAATATAATTGATATTTAAAAATAAGGTTATTCTGATATGCAGGATGTTGGAAATACAACTAACCTAACATGTTCTGAACCAGAGCACGGCCCTGCCCTTGAAATAATTTTCGAGTTGATTAATCACAATATATCCATCTTTCGCCGGCTAAACTAAAAGCTATATATTCGTAAGCATGACGTAATAGGTCCGACCAATAAGATATTTTTATAGTTTTAGAGCAGATTGTACTAGTACACGATATACCCACCTAAAGATAGGATGTTGCGCTTCGTGGGCGGTTCTTATTTTAACGTACAAATGAAAATCACTCTGTGAGTGACGTAATAGCACCTGGCCCATAGCATGCTGCGCATCGTATGCGGTTCTTATTTTGACGGGCAAATGAAAATCACTATATGGCAGACGAAAACTGAACACAGGAGCATCCGGCCTTGGTACTAGGTATTAATTTGCAATTCTCTTTAGACTCAAGACTCGCTGTAAAGCCTTTTTTGTTTCTTAATTAATTAATGCAGTTATATGCAAATTGAGTTAATAAGCTTTACTCATTTTTCTAACTCTGTAAATCCTCTTCCAAAAATTAATGAAAAGAGAGCAGCTCAAAAACGAAAGTCTGTTGGTAATATTACTCTTAAAAGATTACCGCCCACTAGGTGGTCTTCCAGGCATGACGCTTTATATGCTTTGCTTTTGCGATATACTTGTGTGCTTAAAGCTTTATCTAAAATTGTATTAACATCTTTAAATAAAGATGAAATTAAAGAAGCTAAGGTAATTAAATCTAAATTAGAAAATCTTAAAATCGTTTTCTTGATTGTACTAGAGACCAAAGTTCTAAATGCAACAGATGCTATATCTAAGATACTACAAAGCAAACATGAAGATATCCAAAACGCTATCAAAATGCTTTCTGCTCTATTTAATAATTTAAAAGGCTTTCGAGACATAAGGATATTAAAAATGAAGCTATTAATTTAGCTCTCAAATGGGGAACCACAACGGAATTTGAGGAAAAACTTATTTCTCGACAAAAAAAAAACGTTTTGACGAAATATCTAAGCATTATATTATTAAAACTTGCGAAGATCGATTTAGGATAAATACATTTTACAAAACATTAGATAAATCATGTCTATAATAGATCCACTAGTCTAAGAGAAATATGTGACTGTTTTAGATGTTTAGATTCCAAAGTTTTAGTTAATGCCAGTGACGATGATGTGTTTCAAATGGGACAAATTCATCACGTAAAATATTATACAGATATTTCAGAAGAATTCTCAAAAGATTTATTCTAATTTACGCAAAGTTTCAAAACAGACTTAGAAAAGTTACACACAATATACGAGGTCTGTAAATTAAGTAATGAGACTGGCAACGTTGCGTTTGATCTGGCAACGCTGGAAGCGCGGGGCTTAGTGGGGCGGCAGAGGAACTTTCAGTAAGAGTTTGACCTCGCTCGAGTCATTTGGTTGTGCGTAGCGATTGTTTTTGTGAAACAGTTTTTTTTATTGTGTTCTAAAAATGAATGACATCAATTTCGAGCAACGGTGTGCTATCAGGTTTTACTTCAGACTTGGGCACAGTGCAACGGAAACTCTTCTGAAACTTCAGCAGGCCTACGGAGATAGTGTTTCGCCAAGGGCCCAGGTTTTTCGGTGGTTTAAGGCATTTTCAGAAGAAAGAGAGTCGATTGAAGATGAACCACGAAGCGGAAGGCCTTCATCTTCAAGAACCGATGAAAATGTCGTCATAATCCGGAATCTTGTGCGTTCAGATCGTCGGTTGACAGTCAGAATAGGAGAAGAGTTAAATTTGACTCACTCCACCGTTCATCAAATTTTGACCAATGAATTGAGGATGAGAAAAATCTGCGCAAAAATGGTTCCAAAAAACCTTTCGCAAGACCTGAAGAACATCAGGAAGGAAAGGTGCCTTGACTTTTTGGATTCAATTGAAAATGACCCCCATTTTCTGGAACGTGTCAATACTGGTGACGAGACTTGGGTGTTTGAGTACGACCCAGAAACCAAGCGCCAGAGCATGGAGTGGCACACTTCAACCTCTCCAAGGCCAAAAAAGACAAGGATGGCGAAGTCAAAGATCAAATGCATGCTGATTTGTTTTTTCGATATCCACGGAATCGTCCACAAAGAGTTTGTACCCCAAGGTCAAACGGTCAATCAACACTTTTACCGAAAGGTTCTTGAAAGACTTCGAAAAAGGGTCATTCGTGTGAGACCAAACATCAAGAACAAGTGGGCGTTGCATCACGATAATGCTCCTTGTCACACAGCAATTTCAATAAACGAGTTTTTGGCCAGTAAAAACATTCCTGTGGCTCCTCAGCCTCCTTATTCACCTGACTTGAGTCCTTGTGACTTTTTTCTCTTCCCAAAGTTGAAAAGTCACCTCAAGGGAAATCATTTTGGGACAGTCGAAAAAATTCAAACGGCTGTAACCGACCAGCTGAAGGTTATTTCAGTATCGGAGTTCCAGCACTGCTATGAGGAGTGGAAGAAACGTCTCCAGCGCTATGTGGCCTCAGAAGGAAGTTATTTTGAAGGTGACAATATTGAATTGTAATTCTTTTTGTATAAAAAATTTACTTACTTAATTTACAGACCTCGTAAGATTTGGCAAATTTTATAGTTATTCAAAATTCTTGTTCTTGTTCTTGAAATAGTTTTTCAGAAGTTGTCACTGCTTGCTTTCTTTTTTTAATGATTCCTGTAACTGTTGCTACCGCGGAGAGATCATTTTCAAAGTATAATAATAACAATAATTTATGTAACCAAGTATTAATATGTAAAATGTGGAATCAGTAAGCCGTGAATATATCAAATTCAAATATAAGGTGATAGTTTCATTTGAATAAAATCAGTGCATCAACCTGAACTTCGAGAGTATCTTCCAGAGGCTACAGGGTGGAGCATAAGGCCTTCACCCCAGGTAACATATTTCAAACATAGTCATACAGTCCACCATGATCGAAGGCAGTAAATGTCAAGCCTTATAAACCCAGGGTAAGACAATATTAATAATAAATAAATATATGTTTCCTTTCCTATACAACTTATTTCATTTGTTCTTTAATTTCTAGTGGATTTTACATCAATGGTAAAATCAAAATCACATCTAGATATTTTTGTTTTTGCAATCGTATTAACAAAATCGTTAGAAAATGTCAAATTACATAATATATATAGGGGCCCGAATTCAAGATTTGGAACAAGGGCCCGACAGTGTCTTGTTAGTAATAAAATAATGTTTTGAAAATAGGATCATTTTGCCCCATGGGGGGAATCGTTTTACCTCTAGCATTTGGGTAAAATTATCCTTTTGTAGATATTAACAAATATCATTGTCATTCCAAAATGTGAAGAAAATCAACATTTTTTAAAATATTAAATTGTTGTCAAATGGACACCAAATCCTCTAGAAAAGACAAATAAATTTATTGATATGGAAACATCCAGTATATGGATTTCCAAAAAATATTCTAAATACTACCAAATTTCAAACTGGGAGGGTTCAAAATCTAGAAAAATTAAGTTTGTATAAAAAAATAAAAATAATTGAAAATCAGTTAATTAAAAAAAAATCTATTTCTCTGCCCTGACTGCTCTCCTCTTGCTCCTGCTGTTGATTCTTATTCTAACTCTGGTCTTCCTTTTTATACTCTCCTAGTCTTCTACCTCCTGCTGTTTCTTTTCTATCTACTTGCCACTGTTACTCTATTTTGTATCTTAGTTTCTTTACCTTTTTAACTTTACTGATCTTGTAAATTAATCCACAAATTATCTTAACAATATTTTTAAACTTTTATAAAATTCTGACAATCTAAATTCCCTGTTACAGTTTCTTCCAAAATCTCATGACAATTCTCTAAATATTTTTATTTCAAATCAATCATCTTTCTCCAAACTTACACTTTTCTTTTAAAATTTCCCATCTAACGTCTTAAAATTTTAATGACAATCTATCATTCCAAAATCCAAACAAAAACATACTTGATCATTTCACAATAATATTTTTCTATACTCTATCGTCCAGCTTTGTTAACTTCAATTTTGACATAATAATTTTAAATTTCGTTATCTGGGAATTTCCCTTATCATTATATCTCTGTACTTGCAAAACTATAACGAAATTAGCCGTAAGGGGATCATTATACCCCAGTCTTCTCTACTGGTTTACAATACATTTGATGATTTGCCTGTAATACTCCATAGCAGCCTGACATAATACATATTGAAATTATATTGAAAATATAAAGGCTAACTACGTATTGAATAGCGTCCAAATTGCATCAAATTCGATGATAAAGTCATTAGGAAGTAAGGAGGGTTAGGTATTAATACACAAGCTGGCGATGCATAATGCATGAAATCACTTATCAATGAGGCGCCGGTTAACAATTTCTCATAATGCCAACGCGATATACGTAATAGGGGATATGCGCCCATTGTGCGGCTGGTGTTACGTTTCTAGTTTAATGGAGAATGAGTTGGATGATTAGAATCCAGCAAGTTAATTCACGCATCAATTAATTTAAATAGTAAAACTATGAGAGCAATTATTATGCATTACTGAATACGTTTGAATGTAGCGATCTATTTTTTTTAAAGTACTCTAATAATGTATACTATAATATTTATAAAAATAGAAAAATTTTAAATATAATTAGTAATAACAACTGGATAGAAGAAAAATGTGGAGCTGAAACAGTTACAATTGGACAACTTTGACAACTTTGGGATCATAACCATGGTAAGAATTTATGCTCAGCTAATTTATTATAAAAAAAATATATTAAAGTTGGGTATGAAAAACACGAATGACCTGAAGGTAAATAAACCATTATTATGTAGATATATTGAAATGTCTTAAGCGTATGAAAAACAAAATGACTACTGGCCCATATGAGATTTGGTCTTTTCTGCTAAGAGATTATATGTTGTCATATTTGCAAAACCTTTGGTTCATATTTTGAATTTTTTCCTCAATACCGCCATCTTTTCAACAATCTGGAAAAATCTGAGGTGAAACTTTTCTTCAAAAAAGGTCATAGATGTAACATAAATAATTTTCGACATATTCTTATACTTTGCAACTTTGGTAAACAATTTGAAATGGTCATTGCTCAAATATTATCTAATATTGATTCCCAAATTATAGAATATCAGCATGGTTCTATCCCAGGTAGATCTATCATTAGGGGAGAGGGGGGACATTGGGATACGAGGCACATATTAACATTTCAAATTTTAGCGCCACAAAGCGTGAAGTTTAATTGTAGTTTTTGACCGATAGATGGCACCACGTGTACCCATTTTATTGTAGAAAAATTCTGACCACCTCCAGCAACTCCGTAGCTTATTACTCTTTGGTGCGTAAACGTGTCCGGCATTGTAATTGGATTGGATGAAATTATTCATGAAGAGGTATCCAATTTGGTCATTAAGGAAGCCGGAAAATACTAATATGGCAAGAGTTTTAGAAAAGTATAAGATACCTCCAGAACGAACCTACAATTTGGATGAAACAGGCGTTGCCACTATTTTAGACCACCGAAAGTTATTGCCAAAACTGGTACAAAACAAGCGGGTCAGAACGAGGAGAGCTGGTTACATTTTGCGCTATAATAAGTGGAGTCGGAAATACAATTCCTCCTGTCTATGTGTTCCCAAGAGCAAAATTTAAGGATGTTTTTTGAAAGGTGCACACACAGGAAGTCTTGGATTAGCCAACAACTCAGGGTCAGGATGGATGACATTCATTTTATTTTTGAATGTAATTAAACACATACAGAAGCATACAAAATCTACGAAAAATTAACCCACACTGATTGTATTGGACAACCATGAGTCCCACACTAGCCTCGAAACAATTTTATTTTATAGAGAGAATGGAATTATTTTTGTTACCTTTCCCACCATTGCACACACCACCTCCAGCCTCTTGACGTTGCACTA